CAGCCGCGTTTGCCATGTTGGATATCAGACAGGTTCTAAATCAAGCAATTGATAATCATGTCAAAACATGTCCTGTATCTCAAGTCGTCTACCTGCATCCAAAAGATCCGCCGACCCCTCGTCAAAGAGGGGCGCACGGGGAGGGTGCTGACACATGAGCACAACCGAAGATTGATCATCATCATCATTATCAGCAGTAGCTTCTCGTCGTGATTGTTTCTTTGATGTATCATCTTCATGATCATCAAACTGGCAAATCCTGCTTGTAGCTTCTCTCGCCATCCCTGTCTTTTTGTTGTGCTTTTCAAGCGTTTATACCCGCAAAACCGAGAGATACTTGGTGCTTTCCGGAACATGCTCAAAGGGTGTGGTTTGAAAGAGAAGCCCTGCGGGGGAAACGTGGGCGCGTCTCTTTTTTGAAGGTGTCTTCTTTGCATGGTTTCACAGGGAAACCAACAGGAAACCCCCCTTTTCGAGGGCTTGGTTGCTGTTGACCCCGCTGTAAATAACAGTTTGCCTAAACACCGGCTACCCAACATCGCAATGAAGGAGGGGGTCCCCGAAGAAAAAACAAAAAAACACCTAAATCGGAGGGGGTTCCCTCCCCCCCCACAAAAAAAAAAAAGGAGGTGCTGCCCAGCTTCCAGGGCCTTGGGGCCCTTTCTCAAGGCGCCCGCGGCGGAACCTGCGATGAGGCCCGTTGGCACCAGGCGCCCCAGCCTAGCGAACGCGCGAAATGGGAACCATGGGGGGCCTCACGGAGGCCAGCGAAGTGAAACCCAGTGACTCCCAGAAGAGAACCGGCCACTCTGGTTTAGGCTGGTTTCTTTACCTCCTATGGATGGAAATCGGACATCCGCTTCTCTGAGATGTGTGTGTGTTTGCCGGGGTCTGTTCCTGATTTACTCCACTTGCCCGCGTTCGGCTTCATGCTCTCCTGGAATGTGTTGTTTGTTCACAGGACGTTTAGGTTTGGGGTTGGATTATGGGATGGGCTTCGAATCGTATCAGGGCTGATTTAGACTGAATTTAGGGAAATTCCTGGTTGTGATTCCATGTTGCTTGCTTGCTTGTTTTCTGGCTGGCTTGCCCGTGTGCACGATGAACTGGACAATTCACGGAACAAAGTGGAGTAACCGCTTAGGGACAATAGTCACCGGCCACTGGGTCACTGATCCCTCGCGGTCACTTGCCCGGGGTGGTGCATGCGTTTCTTTTATCAAAACTCCCTGCTAGTTCCGATGATGTAAGCATGGTTAAAAAGCTTGACGCTCACATGACCAACCAGCCCCTATCGAGGAAACAAGCATGCACACGGAACCGCATATTTCAAATCCGCGGTGAATGATTGCCGACGACACACGCACACACGCACACACGCACACACGCACACACGCACACATACACACGCGCGCACACACAGACACACATTCACACACGCACCCACGCACCCACGCACCCACGCACCCACGCACCCACGCACCCACGCACCCACCCACCCACCCACCCACCCACCCACCCACCCACAAACCCATGCACGCACGCACGCACGCACGCACGCACGCACGCACATACACAAATAATTTGAATGAGGCGCCCGAACAATAGCGGGCTCAACTAGCCCAGCTTCTCATGCTGACCTGGGTACAATCCTGCATTCATTTGCGTCGCCAAGGAGCGACATATCTTCCAAAAGTCGCAGTGCAGAGCCCCAAGCAGCAGCAGAGTCGCAGGCACTCATTGCTGCGCCATAGGTCGCTAGAGTTGGTTGCAAGCGCAGCTCAGCCATCCTGCGGGAGATCCCAAAACGCTTTGCGGCCCAGCGAATGCATCACTCATGCCAAGCCACACCAGCAGGCACAGGAGAGTACTGTCCTGTATGTCATCTCGAGTGCTTCGTGCCAGCGGCAAGCTTTCTCCAAGGCACTGATGGCTGTTGTGTAAGTAATCCTTGGTTCAAGAGTCCTAATCAAAACCTGGACCCAGAACCATATAAAGAACTAAAGAGGCGGCTGGACTCATCTATGGTTGGGATTCTCCCTTGCTAACCTTCATCGACCCGAGTTTTGATTGTAGCTCATATGGTAACGAGGCATGATTCACTCCATGGAGCCGAACAAAAAAATAAACAAACGCATAGAATTCAACTCTGATACCTTGGTAGATGTGCAAAGGCAAGCCGCTCATTGGGAGCAATGCCCTTCTTGGTCATGGTGCTGAGGAGGTGTAGGGCTGCGCCCCACTCATGGCACTCTTGGAAGGCACTGATAGCCTGAGCCACCGAAGCTTAAAGAGCACATCTGTCCGGAGCCCGCAAGCGAAGCTGGTCAAGAAGCTGCACTGAAAGTGATGGTGTCTCTTCGGATGGAGAGGGATGGCAGGCTGCTGAACAAGGCCAGCGCCCACTGCCATTGACCGCCTGACGAAATACTCCCGGCAGGCGATACGGCGTGGATCGAAGTCGCTTGTCAAAGCAACAAATTACCTGCCTTTGTCGCAGGCACTGATGGCGGCATTGCAGCAAATCAAGTTGGGGGCCACTTGTATTTCTACCATTCCTTGGAAGCTGGGCTGCAAATGCACAAAGGGGGCCGAGTAAAGCTGGCCAACTCGCAGTGCAGCTGAAGGGCGATCCATCAAATGTAAGGCCTCTGTCCAGCACCCGTCCTGCTCACAGGAGCTAATGGCAGCACCGTAAACGAACACGTCCTCAGGTGCTGGAAAGCAAACGAAAGCTGTGCTAGCTCAGTGGCACTTTCTTGCTCACGACGAGACTCGCAAAGGCTCACAACAAAGCATGTGCTCACCACGCAAAAGCTACAATCAACCGAGAAAGAGCAGCTCTGCGTGGCCTTGATGGACACAACATCTACAAAGTCAAAATCAAGCATACTTTCATTACTTGGCAACATGGAAATGACACGCGCAAGCCGCAATCGCCTTCAGCGATGCCATCGTACATACATAGCTGCTGCAGTGTTTCAACAGAGAACTTGAGCGCAGCGGTACAGGCCAGGAGGGAAGAAAACACTGAACAAGTTCCGGCGCCTAAGCCAATGGACACCCAATTGACACACTGATGCCAGTTCTCTTCCGCACCTCTCTGCTGCCACGGCTCTGGCCGGATATGGTCCGAGCACATGAGCTGCATGATGGCCATGGCGGCTTGCCATTGGCCTCCGCAGGCACTGATCAGTGAGCTGTAGAGCACTTCGTTGGCCTGGAGTCCGGAAGATCCTGGCAAGCAGTGATCTGACGCAAAGCGTGTCCGTTCTTGCCTCCCTATGCTTGCGCAAACCACGTACTTGGCTGTGCCCATCTTTGCATTCTCGCATGAGAGCCTGACACTGCAGCCATGACTCGGAAGCTGTGGAAGAGGCACAGCGCCTGCTCCCAGCGACCGCAAGCTCCACAGGAGTGCAAGGCCGAGCCGTAGCTGACGACATCTGGGCGAATATCCTGGACTCGCATCCTGGCCAATGTCACAGCAAGCTGCAATGAACAACTAGGCCTTTCTAACCAAGCTGCAAAGCCGATATGCACTTGTTTCCCTAGGCTGCTTTTCCGCTAGGGCCCTTAAGAGTTGCTGTTCCAGGCGCATGGCAGGAAAGGGACCGCAGGTCCACGTGGGCTGTGCCGCGGGAACCGATACAGTGGCAGTTCCAGATTGCATGAACAGCAGTCAACCCCATGTCGTGCTGAGTCAAGCTGGCCTCTCGAACATTCCCAGGGCCATCTGCCAGTTGTGCTTGCAAGCGACGATGGCCGCATTGTAGCTGATTTCGTCTGGCGTGGCCTGTTCGCGCCCCGTGAAGAACGTTTGGCCACACAAGATAAGCTGAAACGACTCAGAATGCTAGAGGAAAACGCCCCTTGCTTCCTCAGCCAGGCCTGCATCGCCTGCAGCGCCTCCAGAAGAGCCAGAACTTGCTCCCAGTGTCCACCTCTCCGATACTGCACCGCCCCCCCCCCCCACACACAGTGTGTTGCGCCAGGGGATGCCAGGGGGATGCCAGGGGTCAGCCTTTTTTAAAAAAAAAAAAAAAATAAAAATAAAAAAAAATAAAAAAAAAAATAAGTTATATATTTTAAATTACCTTGGCCACAAATCAAGGCTGCGAAGTGCAACTTGCATTGTGGAGGCTGAGCAACCAACACCCTGCCTGTCTTGCAGGCATTCACGGCAGCACCACAGGCAATCCCAGAGGGAAGCACCTCTCTCACTGGCAACGGGTGGGGAGGTTGCAGTTTGTTTGAGAGCCTGAGGTCGGTTTCGACTGACGGCTGGCTGAAATTCCGGCCGTGGGGAGAACATTGGAAGGGACGCGACAATCCAACACGATCCTGCAAGTGATGCCTTATGGGTGTGGGTCAAGATTAAACCACTAGGGGACCGCAGGCCCAGGGCAACCCATTTCGGGTACCTTTTTGTTGACCCACAGCCATATCCATCGCAGCTGGTGGCCTACGGCGTGAGAGTCGCTTGCCTCCTCCGGCATCCCGAAAAGCACCGCAAGCGCGTGCTCCCAGGCCCGGCCCTTCTCACAAGCGCCGATGGTGGTGGCAAAGCCTAGCGTGGGCCAATATAACTTTGCAAATACTCAACCCCTAGACGAGATTGAAAAACATTCATGTGAATGTACCCCTGCAGCTACCAACTCTGCAGGAGCTGTGTCACTTGGGACCTGATACTGCAGTAACTTAACCGACAGGACCTGGCCACCCTGAGCCTGTCTTGGACCACTGAAGCGCTTGAGAGTTGTCGATCATCTTGGGTAGATCTTTCTGCCAGGGAGCTGATGTGGTCTGGGCTTGGCATGCTGTAAAGAAGGTGTGCAGACAACTGCCAGCGCCCGCAAGTTTGGCAGACTTTGATCAGCGAGTTGTAGTTCACGACGTCCTCAAAGCTCACATGCAAGCTGCCACTCAATCGTGAGATCTTGTCTGAAATTGACGCCGATGAAACTTGCATGGTAAAGCCCAGTATGCGGATTTCGTCACGCTACGTTTCCGAGTAAGGATTGCTGCTCAACGTCTGTGCCCCACAAAGCAGTGAATGCTTGCGGGTGATGTCATGGCAAATGGACTGCGTGTGGGGTCTTGTGATTCAAACGTCGCACTCTCCCTCTCCATCTCCTGATTTCTGTATTTGTCTTTCTTCATTTATGTATGTCTTTTGTCATTATTCGTTAATGTTATTCATTGTCATTGCTTGTTTGTCTTTGTTTCCTTTCTGTTTCATGTTTATGCATTTCAATATGATTTAGAACTGTGTTGTTCTGTTCATTTACGTGTCATTATACTTATTATGTATTATGAACTTTACCTCCATACTTCATTGTTGTATCTCTTTATTGAATCCGGTATTTCCGTCTTTGCTTATGTTCTATGTATGTCTTTTGTATTTGTATATTTTTGTTTACGTCTGTCTTTCGCTATTAATATACTTTCTGTACAGTCTTTCTTTATTCATTTGTTTTGTTTATTCGTGTCTTTATTTATTTCGAGAAAAGTCTAAGGCCTACTCCGCCGCAAATCAAGTCATAGCAATGCGAATCCCCAAGCAGGACATTTCTGAGATATGCCCCAAAGCCAGCCTGAGTGGCAGCTGCCACCAACAATCAACACCTTGCGCCTGCCGACGGCGAACGCAAAAACATGTGGATAAGAACAATTGACTACAGGGCTATAACGCAATGACGCAAATAAAACAAGCCCCTTCCCAAGCTGGTCAAGGACTGTTTGACGCCCATATGACCCGTATGCAAGCAGAATCACGACGCACGTCCGAACAGAGGAATTTTCGACCCAGCCGGGCGTTTGCTCGATGACACTCGGTGGGTGCTTTCCTGCAGCACCTTGGGGCTTCCATTTAGCGATCCCCTGTGGCTCCAGGCAGCCAAGGTGCTGGAGTCACTTTGCTATCCAGCATGTCGTGGAAAAGGCTGAGTGCCACTCCCCACAAACTTTGCTTGGCGCAGGCTGCGGTGGCCGAGACGAAAGTGATCCTCGCACGGAATCGACGTTGGATGCAGCGAGGAACTCATGTGCAGCCTGCCTCCAGCTGCACAAACACGGCATCACACAATCCAAATCACACAACAAACAAATGAACCACCTCCATGCAGGGTTTCGGTCATTCCAACATGCTTGCAACCAAGAGAAAGCGGTTCAGGGATTGGTCCGTCAACAGTGGGACGCCTGCTGGCTGTGAACATCTGTGAGCCCTCGCAACGTTGGAACATTGCAGCTTGTCAAGGGGCAAAGCCCTTGTAGCACCGCCCTGCTGAGTTCGATTGATTGACTGTGTCCTTGTATCAGTTGATATCCGTTGTATCCTTCCAACCTGGCCTCCCTTATTTAGAGTCAGGACCTTTGGGGGCTCAGTCCTGTCTGGGACAGCGCGTCGTGCCGGCATTTCCCCAAACACTGCTAGTGCATGGCGCCACTCGTCCGCGCGCTGGCAGGCGCGAATTAGGTTGTTCGCGAAGACCTGTTCGATCCTCAGGCGATCGGCGATTCGCCGATCGGGTTGGCGCTACCGCCTGGATCTGTTGCCAAGGCGCCGTGGCTGATGCCAAAGCTCCAGCAGTTCTTGCCAGCGGCCATTGACATTGCGCCCCTGAGTCACTGCAACCCCTCCCCTGTGTATCTATTGGTCTGCGCAAGCCAGACACGGCAAAGGCCAGCTGGGGGCGCGACGGGAGAGCTGCCGTCGCGCATGTGCCAAGCTCCACGTTGCCTTGATCAAAGCCAGGGAAAGTTTGGATTTGGACTGTGCCAAAAGAAACCATGCCTTCCCCAATTGGTGGGCTTCACATGGCTTCACCATGTCAACCTTTGTTGGCTAAGACATGTTTTTTCTCAGTGCCAAATCACCTCCCACTTTCGAAAACACCCCCCCGCAACCCACCCCCGGCAAGCCCCACACCCACGACATGATGCAATCCCAATCTCCCGCCTAGCAGCTCAAGGTGAGAATCGTCTGGGGATGTGTGGGATTGATTCCGTAGACGGCTGCGATGCTCTTGATGCACAGGTGTCAGGCAAGGTGACCAAGCAAGCGCACAAAAGCTGCTATCGCATATATCTGAGCACTATCCGAGCACTCTTGTTACGCATGGTAGCTCTAGGCTTCAGAAGCCCGTGCCCTGGCCACGTCCTGCTCTGCTTCGAAAATATTTGACAATGAAAGTGACAGCACAGTGCACTTTCTTCGCAACTACGAGCGTCTAATCAGAATCTTCTGGCGGCTGTGTACTTTTTTGGCAGAAGGTGTGTCGTACTCAGCAGGAAGCAGTTCACGCATTTTGATGTCGAACAGGTGCTGGCTTCTGGCAACATGTGCTGACTGCCGGCAGCACATAGTTGGCTTGCAGGGTCTGATGTCTGCCTGTCTTGGAGCTCTAAGCTGGAGCATGCCTTCCCCCGCCAGGATTGCAACGAAGCAGTCCCAACATCACAACTCGTCTCCATCGCCATCACCGCCCATGGTAGCTTGCCCGGTCCAGGCGCACATCAGGTTTTGGCCAAAGGAGCACACATGCGCGTGGCTGGAGCTGGGGAGCTGGGGCTAGGTCTTGACGTGCTTTGCCTCAGCTCATCGCTTGGCTCAGGACCTGCGGCCTCACCGGCTCCCAGCTCTGCTCGCAGGCGCTGACGGCAGTGCTCACAAGGCCCGCCGCAGGCCGCAGCGCCTCCTGCCGCATAGTGACCAGAATGCTCACAGCCAGCAGCCAGGAGCTACTGCATGCCATCAATGCACTGCCATAGCTCGCAGAGTCAGGGCGCACATCATGGAAGAGCCTTGTGGGGTGCAAGCAATGATCAATCTTGCAGCCTGGAATGCTCAAGCCACAATGCAGCCGAAGCGCGACAAACTCTGGGTCCACATTTTCGCAGATCCAGTAGCGTGGGAAAGGGCATTGTAACTGACCAAGTCTGGCGACATCCAGGAGGAAGCCATGATCGTGAAGCATCGCAAGGCCTGAATCCAGTCGCAAGCACTGATGGACGAGTTGTAGGTAAAAGCATCTTGCTCTGTCCTGGCGGTCAAACTCTGCGCATTTGGAAGCAGACTGTTCCTACCAGGTTAGGTCCTCTGCTTGTGCCAAGCCTGCAGCAAAGACAATGCTCTTAGCCATTCGCCGCCCTTATCACAGGCACTGAGGACCTCAAGTGCCCGCAAACAAACAACCCTCAACAAAAAATATCCCGTGTGAGACGTGCAAGGGTTTTGGGCCAAGGCACCGCATTCTGGCTCACCAAACCTCAGAGCCATGTCATGAGCAACGCCTGCCGTGAGCGTTTGCATTGCCGGGCAACTTGGCTGCATACGCTCGGCCATGGAGGCAAAAAGCTGCAGTGCATTCCACCAGCGGCTCCCGCTGCAGCTGATGGCCTCAGCAAAAAGGCCCTGGCACTGCCAACTTGGCCTCTGGGTGCGCATGCAACAGCTCCTGCAGGATGTCCCAAGAGCCAAACAGAAGTCTGCAGTGAGGGCTGGTTAGGTTGGAGCCTGGCATCTTTTCCCAAGTCGAAACGGTGAACAATTCTCTTCATACATCACCTCCCTTGTGCCTGCATGGGAAAAGGCCCTTGTTGGACAAATACATTGCCGGGTGTTAAGCAGGGGGTCGGACCAACTTTAGACTTGCACATCCTTTCGTGTCCTTTTTGGTGGAACGGTCAGCACCGGCCAAGCAAAACCTATTTTTTGCACCCGGCCCGGAACATCATTCTCTCTCTCTCGCTCTGCCATTGCATCCAGAGGGTCTTGACTCAGCAAGGCAACGAAAAAGGCGCCCAGCAATGTTCAGGGGCACCTACAACACCCGGAACATCATTGTCATTGCTTGCTTTCGGCAGGCCGCAGCATTGAAGCCCTGCAAGTCCAGTCCGGTCAGCTGAAGGCTTGGCTGCCAGTGCCCGCTGCGCTCACAGGCGCTGATGCACGAATTGCAGCTCAAGGAGTCCTGCTCCCGAACCTAGGGGTCCTTTTAGGGGAAATAGATGGGTTTCCCTGGTAGGTGATTAAAGCACCAGGTAAACCAGGAAAACCAAAAAGGACAATGCTCCCGAATTGAAAGTCCAGCTGGGTCGGGATCGGAACATAGAGGGCTGATGTCGATGTTCGATCTCATTCTTATAGGTGATATTATCACACTCCTGCCCAGGGACTTTTTGGATGGGTTACTGTGCGAGGTCGATGCTGAAGCCAACTGACTGTTGAGCCCACTGACAGTAACAAACACCTGCCATCACCTGCCCAAAAGATCCACGTTTGTGAAGTTCAAACGCCCCAAAGAGCAAATTCAAAGTTCAAAGAAGCCTTGAGTAGTCGGCAGCATGTTTAACCCCTACGGCCCACAAAGCTTTCAGTAAGCAGTAGTTTGATTCCAACTGCATTGGCTGCCCAGTCGGCTGCAGCCTAGCCCAAGCCTTCCGCAATCTGCGAATAAAAGTGCACTGACTGAAGCCCGCAAAAGCCTTCAGCAAACAGACTGTTGCTGAGCAATGCGCAGGCTGCAGCGCACAAATGCCTTCAGTAAGCAACACTTTGGTTCGGCTTCGACAGGTTAATCGGCACTTGTTCTGGTGGTGGGCCCGGAGAAACAAAAATGAGGAGGGTCATACTGAGATTGGCCACGCAAACTATGCCTCAAGACATGGAACGCGGTTGCAGGGACCAGTGGACCAGCATGCCCCTCATGCTGGAACTGCTTCAGCCTGTGCGCTTCGATGTGCCCAAAGGCCATTCGGACTTTCCACCCTTCAAAATCAGATAGCCATCGCCATGGCCCACTTGCAGCTCTTTTTGCTGGTACTCAGTAGGGAATGAGGGAATAACCCCCTTCTTTTACCATCCCTTGTGGTTTCCTTGGGAATCCCTTGGATTATTCCCACATTCCCTTCTTCTTAAGCCGTTTTGACGCCCTCCGCTGGTTGAAATCCCCGCGGATTTGGTCCGAGGCGCCGGGGCCAGCTGCGAGCGGCGCATCTCGCAGAGCACCGCCGCGGCGCGGTGCCACGCCATGGCGCCCAGGCTCGAGTTGAAGGTCACCTCGGTTGCTAACTCCTTGCTAAAAGTGACTAACTTTTGGTGGTTTCATACGGAAAATTGCTAAAAGTTGTTTAAAAGTGACTAACTTTTAGTGTTTTAATAGGGAAAGCCCATTAGTTGGCAAAAAGTTAATGACCTAACATCCAAGCAAAATGCACCAAAGTATACCAAAGTCTTACAGTCACCGTGTTGGGCTGCAGCATCTCGCTGGCGGCCTATCGGCTTTATCGGCTTCGAGCGACGTCGGCATCGAAGTCCGGAGCTGCACCGATGCAAGGCGTTTCCCCGCAACTTGTGATTGAAACACACGCCTTTTCTCTGAGAATCCTCGGGACAAAGCGCAGAGCGCCTAGTGATGAACTCATCGCCTACCCGATCTAAGTACATTTTCGGCTTTTCTCACACTGCCCTATCTCGTCCCCCTATTTTCATAAATTCGTCCGAATACATGTGGTTTCTCCCAGGCCGGTCCCCATGCTACTTCTGGACTAGGCCATTTCCAAACCAATACTCATCTGGCCGATTTCTCGCCCCCAGCCCAAGATTAGTCCAGGACCCAACCTCCTAAAAATTAATATTGATTTGTTTCATTAATGGTAATTCCAAATTCAAAATTGCTTTTTGAGCCGCAAAACGTTGAAACAACCTCCAACCGTTTTATTTGAACTTGTTGCTCGGAAACTGCGACTTTCACGCTTTGAAAGGGGTGGGGAGCCCATTTGGACGAGGACCGAAGAGGAAATGAACTCCGGTCGACCTCTAATCCGAGTCAATAATTATCAAAATTGGGGGGGCCGTATTTATTTCGGGGAAACTGATTAGAGGGAAGGTGCTCAGCCTGAAAAAGGCTGCGACCTCAGTCAGCTGCAATCTAACATGTCAGCAAGTACTGCTATACTTCCAAAAGCTGAACTAAGGGATGCCCAAGCAAAGAACCTTCATCATGGTGAGCTTGTTATACCTCCACATAAGCTCGCCATAGGCAGAACATGTGTCAAGGGCCGCAAACGGCTCCCGTGGCTTGCCTGCAAGCGTGCGGAGGCACATCGCCAAAGGCACAGCTTGCTGCAAACGTTGATTGCAGTATTGAAGCCTCAGCTCGCCAAAGGCTTCACCGAACACACTACAAGCGCAAACGTAGAGCTAGGGTCAACGACTTGGCCTAGCAGTTTGTGCAAAACAACACCCAGTGAGCTGCAAGCACAGACTTCACCGTGTACGATGAAGGGATTGCCATAAGTACTGTGTGCCTTGCCCAGTGCGATGACATTGCTTTCAACACCCTCTTGCAGATCGGAATCCCAACCAAGTCATGTGAAGACCTTGATTTGTAAGGCTTCTCCACAAAATCTTGCAGCACAGAAGCTCACCACCGTGGACTGGATGAACATCGTGGCCATGTCGAACAAAAGGGCAAGCACCTGCGGTTTAAACACGGCCAGCAGCGATGCAACACACTGGAACTCGTTTTGGTCATGGCATCCCAGTCGTAACTGTTGCTCCAGTCAGCATGATGATGAGAACCATCCCTGTGAATCCTATTATTCTGTCCTTGTGACCACGGCTCAATGGCAATGTCTTGAGTCTACAAATAAATAGACCATTCCCAATGTTGGCTGTGACATGCCCCCCGCTTAAAATACTCACAGCTTAGAGCATCGGCAGAGCCTCCCGCCATCGCAGCAGGTCAGCACATGAAGCAGCCGCGCAATTCGCCAGAGTATCAGTGACTTGCACGCTGGCTGCAAAAGCCTTCTGCAAAATGCCAAGCCTAAGAAGCATAAATATATAACTTGACAGCCAATCACAAGCTGCAAACCTGACATTGTGGAGCGAAGGACAACACCAAACCATAACAAACCGCATGCATTATTGGCAGTGGCATGGAAAACCAAGTACGTAAGCGCTTCCAAGCCACGCCATCCTCCAGCTACCTCGAAGGGTTTTGTACGTGGCCGCATCGGGCTCAATTGCCACCTGGCGCCTGGCACACAACTTGCAGCAAAACGGCCCTCTGCTTGTCCGCTCAAACAGGCGAACAAAAGGAATCTGTTCGGCTCTTTGATGCTATCTGGCAGCTGCCACCCAAAGCAGCGTAGAGTGACAAAAAACCATCCAGGCTGAAATAGAACCCCGTATGAAACCTTTGGAACCTTGTACCCAAGTATCGGTCAGTATCATTTTTTCCTCAGCATTGGTTTACCATGCGTTGGGGCTACGAGTTGTTAAGTGCACTATAGTGTGGACGTGGCCACGCAACGCGAATAGGAAACGCAGGCAGCAGGCAGCCGTTGTTTCGCGCGTTTCAAAAGCCGGTTCGGTCATCAGGAAGAGGAACTCGAGGAGCTGGTGTGAATTCAAACCCAAAAACACAGGCGTGCTACTAGGCAGTTGGGTCGGATTTGGCAGGCATGACTATCGTTTAGGTATCAACCAA